TCCCTGCTCCGTGGGAAGCCTGCTTCTCCCTCTCCCACTCCCCCTGCTTGTGTTCCCTCTCTCGCTGTGTCTCTCTCTGTCAAATAAATAAAAAATCTTAAAAAAAATAAATAAATAAAAATAAAAACATCTTCAACTCAACATTCTGCTTTATGGTCATCGGCCTTTTCATTTAAAGACCTTATATCATTGAAAAAATGAGACAATATCTAACAGCTTGTCAACATTTTCAATTTAAGAAATGAGAGCTGAATATTTAGCTCTCTGGGTACAAGTTCATAAAACTGAATGCCATTTACTCAAGTACTAGTACACTAAACAGACAAAATACAACATCTTTGCTGACTTGCAATAAAAGATACTTCACACTAAGAAGGGTCCCAGGCAATGCTCGGGTTGAGAGGGGAAAATTCTACACCACCTCTCCCCACAAAACCTGACCACACTGGGGACTCTTATTTTTCCCTTGAGGCTCTGAGAGAGGAAGGGAGAAAAGGCAGAAGGTAAACAGGAAGGGGAGTGATGTGCTCTAATGTGGTTCATATCTGCTAAAAAGGAAAAGAGTAGAATTAAATATCAAGAGTATTTCCTACTTCAAGTACTCGGGATACCAGGAATCTTTTACTCTAAGCTCTCCCCAAAAAAGTATAATCATAAAGGACTTTCAACTTCCTCATTCCCACTTAATGAAAAAAAATGTTACTACTACTACTACTGATATTGGCTAATATTTACTGAGTTATCATGTGCCAGACACTGTTCTAAGCCCTCCACACATACAATGTAATTCTCATAATAACCCTACGTTAGAAGTATTATTATCATTCCCTTTTTCACCGAGGCAAAGAATGAGTAAGACAGATAACTAGTATTACTTCCTTTGTAACAATGGAAGAAGAGAGCGACACTTTCATTGTCTTAGCAATGAAATGATCACTGAGTGTTTAAAAATTAAAATACAGAAACAATGTTTTAATTTTCTAGAATGCATTAATCAATTTACATGCTATTTGTATACTTGCAACCATAACCAAATATGGAAAGGTATAATTCTGCTGATAGCAACCATACTCACAGTGCCTGTTTTAGCATCCCACATTAGATCTCTGAAGGCCAGTTGTGAAGGAGTGAGCTCTGGCTGTAAGAAGTAACTTGCTCGAAACTGATTCCCTGAAAAAACAATTTTTCCTTTATCTTCTTACAAAGAAAGGAATGAAATCCAAAGCCAAAAATGTATGATGTTATGTGACAAATTTAGGAAACAGACATCCAAAATGTCAAGCTGCTTACTAGGAACTTGCTTTCTAAAACATATATGCCAATAGAGATTTGTTTACCTGTAAGAATAACAGTAGAAAAAGTAAAAACAGAAGCACATAAGAGCTGATCTTAAAGCAGCTTTAAGAAAGATCTTAAAAAACTTTTAGGCCAATAACGTGCCCTGTGATGAAGATGATCCATTCAAATATTTTTGTAAAATGCAGAAAATGTGTAAATACTCTTTAGAAAAATATATAATTATTAATTTTATTTCTTAAAACAAAACCATTATTATACTGTTTTCCCATACTTTATTATGAAGAATACTGATTACAAAATCATTTATTCATTTGAGAAATCATTTCTGAGTTCCCACTGTGTGCCAGGCACTCTGCTAGGACCTGCAAATACATATGTGAATCAGAGAAATACAGCCCCTGCCCTTATTAGTTTACAGTTAAGTGGGGGAAATAATTTTAAAAAAATAAGTAGATGAGAGAATAAAATAATTATAAACTAACTTAGATCCATAAAGGGTGCTCAAGTGGAAGGGTGTTTTTCAAAGAGGACATCTCTGAGAAGATGGAATTCCCCTGGGATGCAAAGGATGAGAAGGAGATGGACATTCAGGGAGGGCTGAGAAGAGCCTTCCTGGCTGAGGAACCTCAAAGCAGCCCTTCCACAGATAACTCAACAACTCAGGGTATATAGGAGATCCTCCCCCAACATTATTTCTCTTTAATGAGCTTATGGACAAATGTCGTTAAGTACAGAGAAATCCAAGAACAAATAAGAAAACGGAAATGCAAATGGATAATAATTCTTCAGAAAAATCTTTCTGTGAAGAAAGGGAGAGAAAGTGAGGCTTTGGCTAACGTGGGATAGGGTGAGAGGAGCTAGGTCTTAAAGGTATCAGGCATGCTGGTAGACTGATGAGGGCAGGAGCTGGTGCAGGGAAGGGGTGGTGGTGGGCTGAAGATACACAAAAGGGCTCATAATTAGAAGAGTCATATTTTTTGAAATAAAGCAAAGGGGCTAGAAGCCAGAGCACAGGTAAACAGACCGGAATCTAAGAGGATCAGGGATCCTTCCTCCACTGTCATAGGAAAAATGAAGGAAATGAGGAGTACCAAAAAGATGTGATATTCAACATCTTTTTAAACATCTTATTTTGGCTAAAACAATACCATTAGACATAAAGCCTCACTGCTTAACTCTAAGCTTGTGGTGGCTCAAAGACACCTGTTACCTTCCTCCAGAAGCTGGAAGAGTGTGGAAGGCCGAAACCCTGCAGGAATAGCTCCCATTGTGGTCAACACATCAACAGTGTTTATCTGCTGAAGACAGTAAAGACAAAACTGAGTTGCTTGTTTTCATTCATGTTTCCTCACCTCCATGATACTTTCTCTTATCACTATAGCAACTACGACCCAGAAAAGGAAATCACAAACACAGACTTTAGTGGACAAATACAGCAGTTTAACCTCAAATTCCAGAGGATGCCATCCATCACTGAATCCTCGTTATCTCCCAAGAACCTAAGCCCCATGCAATGCCCGGTGAGCAGAGCTCTGTGCTCCAGACCAGGTGCTTCCTGCACATCTTTCATCAAAACGTCCCGACCCCGGTCCCGCTCTACGATGTACTGCCACGTAACAGATGAGTTAACATCAGAACCTGATATGCACTGAAGAATTCATGGCTTTTTTGTGTATGTGTACATACACACACATACATACATATGAGCACATCCATGTAAGCGATAAGTAGGGTAAGACGTCAGAAAGGGTATTGACTGAACTATTAATGGTGATTAGTTATGGGAGGGAAGGAGTGGATTTTCATTTTGTTATGTAACTCTTTTAAATGATAGGAATATGGATAATTTCTTACTTTTTTGAGCTTTTTGGAATTTTTCATATTAACTGAATTTAACATCAGCCTTTATCCAAATGGTAGAAAATTCAGGCAGAATCAGTAAGAGATAGTTGCAAGTCCTCAAATCTACTCTTCTTACAGAAAAGGCCTAAGGAGAAATATTACTTGGAGAATAGGCTTATTAAGCCAGAACCGTATGTTTTATACTCTGTACATTCCATGCCCTGTACCCTGTTTAAGATCCGATGCTATCTTCCAAAGTCTCCATCCTGTTTTGAATCTGCACTCTAACAGAACTGTTAGGTAACAAAACATGACATCATTAACAGAACAGGTGATACCAACCTCTGAAATAGCTTTTCGGACAGCACTCCAGTGAGAATCAGTTCTGGGGGGCACAAAATAGCAAGGTGAGTGCACAGACAGTTCAGACAGCTCATGCTTATTGACTCAATTAGGGAGCGTCTTCAATCAAAGAACAAAGTATTTAATTGTCAATAAGTTCTAAAAACTTAAAAGTCTCTAAATGAAACCAAGAAAGGATAGTATCATGTACTAAAAATAATCACGAAATTAAAGTAGTACTGATCTTTAAGCAAATAGTAACTCAAACTGCAAGTTGTTTCCCTTTCAAAAATTCTTGAATTATTTACAACAGTAAAAATAAACAAAAAGTTTCTTAAACTCACTCTGATATCCTCTCACACCTTTTACCTTTGTTTAACTTCTTCCCCTTCTGCTGTTTGGTCCCCCACCTCTACATCTTCTTCGCTGCCTTCACTTGAGTCTTGGCCTTCTTTATCATAGGGCTGAAAAATTATTGAAATATGAAGTGCTTTTTACCTAATGCAAAAATCAACCAATAAAAATACTTTCAGAAAGGCTCAACTATAGGTGGGAATGTACACGATGGGTATATCAGAAATCAGTGGGAAAAAGATTTCAACATATTGTCAATAACTTCACTATTTGAAAAATTTACAAGGATAGAGGTAGAGAGCAAGTTTAATCAAGATAAATTCCAAGCAGAATTTATTTCAATAAATAAAAAAAGAAAGTAGAAATAAAAGAAGTTAGAAGTGTTAAAGTGTTTAGAAAAGTGTTAGAAGAAAAGTGTTAGAAGAAAATAATGTTGAGATGGGGAAGTCCTTTCCAATTTTAATACCAAAATGAAAAATCATGGACACATTGACAGACTTAGCAACATAAAAAATAAACACGGTTCAAAGTCAAAAAAGAAAATACCTGTCACAGATTTCCAAGGGTTAATACCCTTATCCTGAAAATATTACAATACTCTTATAAATCAATACAATTAAAAAAAAAAGTCTCTTAGAAAAATAGTCAAAAGAACTGAAAAGGCAATTTACAAAGAAGACATAGAAATGATTATAAAGTATATGAAATGATGCTCAACCTTTTTAGTAGTACAATGAAGGCAAATAAAAACAATAATGGGCCTCTTTTTGCCTACCACACTGGCAAAAGGATGGATGGCAGCCATCCGTGGCACATGTATGGGGAAAAAGTACTCTCAGATGCTGGGGATGAGGGAACAAATAAGCATGACTTTTCTGAAAGGCAAAATGGCAAACTAAATCAAAATATAAAGGTGTAAACCTTTTGAACCAGCAATGAACACCTAGGAATTTATCTGAGGGGAATAAATCAGACAAATCTACAAAGATGTCTGTGCAGACTGATTACAACACAGGTTGTTGGTTGTCTACCACCTAAACTCCACCTTTTTTTTTTTTTTTTAATTTTACTTAATTTTTTGACAGAGAGAGACACAGCAAGAGAGGGAACACAAGCAGGGGGAGTGGGGGAGGGAGAATCAGGCTTCCCGCTGAGCAGGGAGCCTGATGCGGGACTCGATCCCAGAACCCTGGGATCATGACCTGAGCCGAAGGCAGACGCTTAACAACTGAGCCACCCAGGCGCCCCTCCACCTCTTCTTTTCTAACAGAATCCCTGATTTTAGCAATGAGCAGCTAAAAGTCTACATTTTCCAAATCCTCTTTGCAGCTAGGTGTTAACAACAGACTCAATTCTGATCAAGGAGATATCATTGGAAGGTTTTTTGTAAATTCCAGGAAACCATCTTAAAAAGACAGCAGGTCATGCCTTTTGGCTTCTTATTCCCCTTTCTTCTTTTGCTTCTTGGAATCATTAAAATATCTAGCAGCCAATTTACCTATCTCTTAGATAACCTTTGGAAGACTTGCATCTCACTTAAGTACAGAGTAAAATATTAGATGGGGCCTTCACATTCCTTTCATTGCCTACCTCTACACTTCTTCCATGCACGAGACAAATATGCTTCTACCTTATTTAAGCCACTATTTGGGGGGATCTTTTGTATCTCACAGTGGAAGCTAACTGTAGCTCCGTGCAACATCATCTGTAGTTCTTACAGGTTGGAAACAACATGTCCATCTACATGAAATTGGAATACTATGCTACCAATGAAAAAGATGATTCAAACCTGAACTGTGCAATATAGCAGCCACTCGCCACGTGTGGCTACGGACACTTGAAGTGAGACTACTTCAAACTGAGATGTGCTATTTTGGTGTAAAATATACACTGGAATTTGAAGACTTGGTATGAAAAAAAAGAAAATTTTTTTTAATATTGATTATAGGCTGAAATGATAATATTTTGATATATTAGATCATATATATTATTAAAAATGTCACCTGTTTTTTTTCCCTTTTTTCAAATGCATGTTGTATAATAAAAAATATATATATATTTAGTCTTTATTCCCAGTTCTTGGCAAGAGTTCCTAAAACTCTTGGAATTTCCTGAGTGATAGGAGTGTCTTATGTTATTCATAACAAGCCCCTTTCAACCAGACTTGAGTTTATGCTAATGAGGTGATAGGGTGGGGGTGGGGCGCAGGCTGCCAGAGGAACCAGCCATGTGATTAGAGGGTTAGAACTTTCAGGGCACCACCACTACCACCCTCCTCACCTTCAGCAAGGATAAAGGAGCAGGAAACTGCATTCAGTCACCAATGGCCAATCACTTATTCAATCATGCCTATGTAACAATACATCCATACAAACCTCTAAAAGACAGGGTTTTGGGAGCCTTGTAGGTTGGTAACCACATAGAATGCTGTGCTGGGTGGGAGGGTGGCCCCAGAGAGGGCATGGAAGATCCAGGTCCCACTCTTTCCATTTCCCAATACCTTGCCCTATCCATGCCTTCCATTTGGCTGTTCCTGAGCTGTAGCCTTTATAATAAACTGGTAAACACAGGTAAGGTCACCTGAGTTCTGGGAGTCCCTCGATCAAATGATCAAACCTGAGGAGGCATGTGGGAACTGAATTTATAGCTGGTCACTCAGAAGTACAGGTGGTCCATGGAACTTGGGACTGGCATCTGAATTAGGGTGGCTCCTGGGGTAAGCCCTTAACTTGACAGGTCTGCGCTAACTCCAGGAGTTAGTGTCAGAATTGAATTGAATTGTTGGACACCTGATGGGTTTCAGAAAACTGGTGTGGAAAATAACATGTATCTGGTGTTAGAAAAAAATCACACAATTAAGTGTTAGAAGTGGTGTCAGAAAAAAAGACATCTCAGTGTGGTTATGAGATAATTATAAATGCATTTACAGTTTGCATTATTTTTCTATTGGACAGCGCTGATCTAGACAGATATCTGGGGACAGATATATATTGGCAAAGAAAATGACCAGCTATATAATGAAATATTAAAAAAAGGGCTGCAAACACGCATGTATAGTATGTGTACATCCTAGTAAGGGATCGTATATTAGTGAAAGTTAACTGTGGTTTCGTTTGATAACCAACAATAAACTATTAATTTTTATGATCAGCATTAATCCACAAAGCACTTTGTGTCATAACATTCTAGGCCTCACCTGCATAACAGCACTTCACAGATCCCCAGGACTGTTAACACACAAGATTTTCCCCATGCCCTGTCCCTCTAAAAGTAAAGTAAATTCTATATCTCAAGTCATTCACTAGTCAATTGATCAAAGAATACAGCTTAACGTTTTATTAAAAATGAAGACAAGTTTTGAAAAAATTTTTTAATGGAAAAAGTCTTCAAAGGAGAAAAAGGGAAAGAATAAACAATAAAGACTAACCTCCACGTAGGTTCTGGGAATGAGACCTTTGTTTCCTTTGGCATTCTTAGCTATCCACCAGCCATCAGGTTTTTTTTCAATTATAAGGAGAATTTCCCCTTTCTTAAATCAAAACAAAGTAAAACATTTTAAATGAAAGTTGACCCCTAAATTAGAAATTATCAACACTGAAACTATTTTCAAAAATAAAATAGCATTTAATTTCACCATTCTCCTACCAGATAACTTTGATAACATAATTTCACAGGATTACTGTCTATAAATCATAATTTTTACTTATTTTATTAAAAGAGATTGAGTCTTTAAAAACAATACCAGGAACATGTAATATAGGCATATAGCTAGAGTTTTCTTATTCTGTCAGGTGTGCAAACTTATCCTTAGGTTAGGTTCTAGTCTTGTTTCTACCTTAAATGTAAGATCCCCAGCTTGCTGAGCAGTAAAATCTCCAATGGCAATGTATTCTTTACTTGTTGCCTGGTGGTGGGATTCATTTTCCTGTTTCTCTTCCTCTTTCTCTTCTGTTTCTTCTTCCTCCCCACCACTTTCTTCACGCTCTTCTTCATCATCATCATCATCTTCTTCATCTTCACCAGCAGAATCATCATCTTCTTCTCTTTCAGTAGGTGCCCCGATTCTGTGAAAAATAGTTCTATAAGGATCACTTGAAATAACGTATAAGAACAGATCAAGTAATGAGGACAGCTTCTACATACAGAAGATCCTACCCGTATTTGGAGCTGGGCAAATAAAGGAAATAAGGAGAAAGCACAACTCATGGTTTCTACCATCTAGGGAACAATATGTGACTTGAGGGACTGAGTGGTGAAGGAGTTAATACATCTGAGTCATGTATGGGACACGGCAGAGCACGCACGGGACTTGAGGCCATGGGACATGTATTCAAGTCTTGGATTCATCCATCCATTCAGCAAATGCTGCTTGAGCACTGTAATACAGTGGTTAGAGCACGGACTCTGAGTTTCCATTCGGGCTCTGTCCTCTCTTTGCTGAGTGACCTTGCATAGGTTTCTTTTAAGCTTTCCATTTCTCATTGGTAAAGTGACGGTAATAATAGAACCTGCCTCACAGGACTGTCATGAAGATTACATGAGTTACAAATCCGCAGAGGGTTTAGAACAGTGCCTGCCCGCCAACAGTTTTTAATAGAAGTCAGCTATGATGATGATAATGATGTATGTCAGGTCCACGTCAAACACAGTGGATATCAAACCTGGTAAATCAGGTAAACAATTCCCTGTCCTCAAGGAGCTTACAGTGAGACAATCTAGAAAATGGGTAATTACAATATAGTTCGATAGGTACATTAGAGGTATACACAGGATACTAAGGAAACACACAGAAGGACACTTAACCTACACTGTATGGGTGGGGGTCAGAAAAGGCTTAGAATTAGGTCTGGAGGGATGACTTGGAATTAATGAGTTAAAAAGGAAATAGAAAGGAAGCGGAGGGAGTGGAGAAAGGAGGCTCAAGTTGAGGGAACCTCAAGTAGCTCACGAATGGTAGGACAAGGCTTGAAGAAATGAGTAAGAAAGAGATGAGGCTGAAAAGAGGTGAGCAGAATGCAACCCATGTGAGCTTGCTTTCTAACACAGTCTCTAAGAATGAAGAGAAGGTCATGATCTCATCTGTACTTTGAAAAGATGACTGGGCTACAATGTGGGGAACACATTGGAAAAAGGGCTAGAGGCAAAGGTGGCTGTTAAAGTGAAACAAGATAAGAGTATGAACTAAATAATAAAAAAAAAACTAGCATTAGGATGAAGAGAAAGACGTTTGTAAAGGTATTAAGGAGGTACAATGGGAGGTGAGGGAAGAGAGAAGAATTAAAATAATACTAGTTTGGATGAGTCACTAAATCTCTCTGAGCTTTATTTGTCATTCAACATTCAGCAAAGTCATCAAACGTTTCCTGGGCACCTACTGTGTGACAGACAGTATGTGCTTGGGATACGACAATGAACAAAACAGAGATCTTTGCTCTCCTAAAGCTTACATTAGAGAAGCTTATCTTAAAAAGGGGGTAACGATATATTTAGACTGATGCAAATGAACCTTGCTAAATATAAAACCAGCCAATTATGAGATATTCTCCAGAATAAAGAGTACTGGGTTCCCTTGGTTTAAAATATTTGTAGGATACCCTCATGCCACGGTGACCTAAACATAAACAGTAACTTAACAAAATTTTTACACCATAAAAATAAAAACCCATAAAATATGTCATATTGATTTTCCAAGTGCCCCTTTCCTTTTTTAGGAGATCTTTTGCACTTATTTTATGAGTCAATTATTCTAAAATGTTGCCAAGGATAATGGGAATTTGACATGATTATTCATGGTTCTTCTTCATTGTGTTAAGAGTGAATTTTAATTACTGATTTTTGGATGTTAAACTAACCTTGTGTCCTGGAATAAATTCCACTTAGTCATGCTGTATTGTCATTTTGAAATGATACTGGATTCTGTTTGCTAATATTTTATATTGGGTTTGTTCATGTGTTCATGAGGGCCTTGCTATTTTTCTTATAATATTCTTGTCAGGTTTTGATATCTAAAGCTCATAAAATGATTTGGGATATGTTCTTCTATTCTCTATAAAGATTTTGTAATACTCGTATTATTTCTTTTTTAAATGTTTGCAGCAATTCATCAGTGAAGCCACCTGAGAGTTTATTCTGTGGGAAGGTTTTTAATCACACATTCAACTTCTTTAGTAGATATTTTAGCAGGACTATTAAGATTTTCTCTTCACTTTGTGTCGAGTACCTTTTATTTTTCAAGGAAATTATTTTATCTAGATTTTCAAATGTCTTGGCATAAAGTTGTTCATAATATTTTCACAGCATCCTTTTAATTTCTATAGGATCTGTAGTGATTAGTTTTCATCCCTGTTTTCTTGTTGTTGTTTTCCTTTCTCTTTCTCTTTTCTTGATCAGTCTTGCTAGGGATTTATCCATTTAATTAATTCTTCCAAAGAACCAACTTTTGGCTTTATTGATATTATCTACTATGTCTTTTTATTATTTATTGTTTTCTGCCCTTATTTCTATTATTTCCTCCTATCTACTTGCCTTGGATTTAATCTCTTGTTCTTTTTGTTTTCTTAAGTTGGAAACTTCAATAACTGATACTCAACTTTTCTTCTTTTCTAAGGTATACACTTAAAGCTATAAATTTTGTTAGCTGCCATTTCTCTGCTTGATTCCTCCTTATCCATCCAAGCTATACATCTTTTCCAACAAATTCTTTAACAAGTTGAAAACAGCTGTTTTATAGTTCTTGTTTGCTAATTTTCACATTTGGATCATCTGAGCTTCTACTGGTTATTTTTTCTCTTTATTATATGACATTTTCCACCTCTTTAAATCTATATATTGAATCAAACTGAGAAACTTCTCAGTCATTGTTTCATCAGATATTTTACAGCTGGAGAATGTTCATTTTCTACATTTGAATGTTCTTAAAATACTCCACTTTTTTCCATTTCATCCATCTTTTCTTCTTTTAACATATTAATCATTATTTAGAAGTCCTTGTCAGCTAATTGTATTATCTAGTTCAGATCTAAGTCTGCTTTTATTGACTATCTTATTATTTAGTTGCTGATTATTTACTTACCCCTGCTCTTTTGTACTTCCAGTAATTCTCTTATTAGTGGATATTATGGATGAGACATTTAGAGACTTTGGATTATGTCATCTTCCTTTATAGTGTTGAATTTTACTCTGTCATACAGTTAAATTATCATGTTCCTGTTAAGGTCTGGTTTTAGGCTTGGACAAGATCTACTTTAGTCTTGTCTTTATTTCAAGATCACAGTTCTTAGTATTAGGGTATTTTCATTACTCCTAATAAGAGCAGTGACAGTGACAGCATGACTAAGGCCTTCTGTGATCTCCACTAAATGCCTGAAGCATTCACCAAAGTCTCTTTATTCTAACTGGGTACAAACGCCAGTATTTCTCCAGGATTGCATAACTTCCAGAATCTTTTAAGCTCTCAGTCTCCTAGAAGGTACTTTCTGCCAGTGCTTCTGGAATCATGCTGTGTAGCCCAGGAGTCTATTCAGATTTCTGTAGTTGTCTCTTGCAACTCCTTTCTCTCTCCCAGAAGTCCCAATGGCTTTGGGAACTCCAAAATTTGACCTCTGCCTCCTGAGCTCAGTGATACTGCTGCTCCCTGTTTAGGATCCACCTTCCTGTACCACAGCCCATAAATTTTCCCCAGGGAGAGGATCTGGGTGAATGTAGAACTCAAGTTCCTTTGTTATCCTGTATTAAGGCCATCAGCCCTGCTTGGCTGATGCTCAGTGACTTCGACCAGCTGTTTTGTATATTTTGTCCAGATTTTATAGCTGTTTATGGTAGGAAGGTTAAGTCCCAAACCAGCTACATTGTCATTCTCGGTAGTGGAAATCAGTGGAAATTCTAGAATCCTTGCATCTACATCCTTTAGCATTTTTCCCAGGATAGTGTAAAAGTACGTGAACAGCACTTGAAGAGTCTAAATAGTTAATTTTTTTCCTTTTTGCTTTCCACAAATTGGGTTTGTTTATACCATCAAGTTTTCTTTCCACTTTGCAAAGGCTGTTATTAACATCCACTACAGCAGACAATGCATACTTCTGCCTCTAATTTTTAAAGAATATTTATGAAAGAAGGATGCAAATAGACAATCCAAATAATTTCTTTTTATGTAACAACACTGACATTAGAAGCATCATCCTTATTTTCTAAAACTTGTTTATTTAGCTATTCAGATCGCTTTTTTGTTTCCCCAACTAGATTTTAAATTACCTAAGGGCAGAGATTATGACTTTCACTTCTTCACATCTTTTATAGGATCTAAGACTTTCTACTATACACAATAAATAAATGTCAACTGATTATACTTGTTATCACCATTTGTTTATATCTATACTCTTAATATGTCTTTATTCTGAGTCAAACATTAAAATTGTTGGCGACATTATATCTGAGAGAAAGAAAGTAAGGAAAGAAGCATACTCAGTTATATTTTCTCTACTTATGGACACGGCAAGTTCCTGCAGTTGGTGGGTAAGCTTATCCAAAAGACTGTGCTCCTCCTCTTTTTTCTGATTATAGTTCCCGACAGGAGCAGGTTCATCAGCCTATGAGAGAATATAAGTATATTTCACTGAAAAATTTATTTCAGTTTCTTATTATATTTATTTTAGAAGGAAAAAAATACTCCAGTAAGTTCTAGAAGATAAAGTAAATGTCAACATGAGACTAGGCTACCTTAGAGAAATAAGATTAAAAGAAAGGTAGATTATTATATTGAAATGTAACCCAAATGAAGAAATAAATAAAATTATACTACTTGGTTTTTTGTTTGTTTTCTTGTTAGCTATTCCAGACCCTCTATAGTCCGTAAGAGATAGGGTCCAGACAGAAGATAGGCTTTGGAGTCAAAAAGACAGGTGCCAATCCCAAGTTCTGCCACTTTTTGGGAGTGGGACATTAAGAAAGCTGCTTCACCTTTGGGAGACTCAGCTTCCCCACCTGTGAAACAGGATAATTAGATTTCAAATTTAGGGTCAGCCTGCCTCCTAAATTCAAGAGTTTTGTGTCACTGAAATTGGGAAGAGATGCTCAGAATGTGGGTAGGGAGATGACTTTTAGATGCCTTCCACTTTAAATGCTCTGTCAATCTCTGGCCCTGGACACTTAGCTGAAGCTCAGGCTCATGCTAACAGGGAAAATCCTGAAGGAACTTCCAAGAGTAAATTCTAGTTCCTCCTATTTCTGCAGAGTCACTGACATTAGAGCTGCCATGTGATACAAGAAGCTTCTTCACCACTTACTCAGGGCCCGATTATGTACTCTCCCCACAGTGTAATGAAAATCAAAACAACTCTAAACTGTAAAACAGAAAACTTACACAATGTAAAATTAAAAATAACTTCCTGGACTTTCTGGGTCCTCAATGCTGGGTAAGTTCACCAAAGCTGAACTTTTCTCAGCATTTAGAGGCCTGGCTTTTCTGCTCCAAAGCACACACTCAGTAAGCCAGTCGGGCAAGTCGGCACTGATCACAGTTAGACTTCACCACCATTAAGCAAACCCAGGAACTCACCCACTCTAATGAATTCCTACTTAATGAAAACATCTGTGTAAAAACAGGTTTTCTGTAATATCATTAACCATAATACTTACTTTGTTTAATTTTTGAAGAGCATTTTTATTTTCATCTATTGCCTGTTTTAATTGGAAACATCTAAATTTTCAAAAGAAAGAAAAAAATATTAATTTTTCTGTTGTCAGGCTAGAAAGTTGTTTTAAAAAATCATACATAAGTCTTTAAGCTGGCAAGGCAATTAGCTATTGTATGAATGATGTTAAAAAGTTCACCTGTAACTGCTTTTCTACCCACCAGCTTGGGTGATCCTCACATGCTCTAAGGTACACAGGTATGACAGCCAACCTTCAGAAAGCTTAAGTGACTCTGAGTTTCAGTTTCCTATCTCTAAAATAAGGAAAGCACTGGACTTCAAAATGCTTCTTCAGGTCTAAAATTCCATAAACCCAGGACCTAGCCCAGAAGACACCCTTAAGGACGATAATGACAAAGTGCACCATGCATCACTCATAATGCTAGGCACTTTGCAAGTGCCACCTCATTTGAGCCTCACACCAACTCTCACTCCGGCAGAAGGAAGGTGAGGTTCTAAGAAGGGGTCACAGTTGGTCAGTGGTGGGGAAACACGTGAAGACAGAGTTTAGGGTTCTACAGCTGGCCTCTTCCCACCTCAGCACATTCCCCTTTTAAGCTTGGCCTATCTAGATGGATACAGTGTTTTAATTATTCCAACAACAGTTCATATAATGTAGCTTAAGTCTTAGACCCCAGTAAGAAGTATAAAAATGACTGAAAATGGGCTACATCTAATAATGACAGTTATCAAAATTCAAATGCTCTCTAAAAAAAAGAACCTGTGAGAGTCAATATTTTTATGCCGTTGGTGTAATTTTTTTATTGTAATACTGTAATATTGACCTGCAAGAGTCAATATTTTTTATGCTGTTTGAGTAATTTTTTTTCTTACAGAAACTAGTGAAATGAAGTAGCAAAAAGGGGGACAAAAATCTTTTGTGAAAGAGGCAGAAAAGAAGGGAAAATAGCAAACTGTGGCTGACCCTGCTAGTCACTTATCCAAAAGCCCTTCCACCACCTGCGTCTATGCTGACAGGGTCAGCCCCCCATTGACACCGACACTGACAGGGCTCAGAATCCACTGTGGGTGGGGTCGGTGTGTGGCTCAGTGCTGGCCGACAAAACATGAAACAAATATGTTGGGTACTGCCTCCCGTTTTATCCTCCCTGGTGCAGCATGTGAAGAATCCTTCACCCTTTCTGCTTTTAGATACGGACACCTGAGGACTCTGTAAAGGTGAGAGGAGCCATCACAGCTAGATGAGGATGACAGAGCACAGGGACAGCAAGGGCTGGTCTTGAGGACATCACGAGCCACTTATCCACCCTGGGAGAACCTACTTCCAGACCTTTTGTGGAATGAGACTGACTGTAGAGACACTAGCTTTAACAGGTGCCTTGAAGAATCCTAACTGAAACTAGACTCAAAAATTTCACTTAAGAGCCAGAGTAGAAAACTATGAAACAAATTATTTATTATAATGATCCCCTTCATATCTATAAAATTATTAAACTCCTCATATTTTCAGATATTTTAAGATTTCTGCATCAGGATAAAAACTCAAGCACACATTCATCTTCACCACCTCCTGAAACCCCACAAAAAATGATTAAAACATTTTAAAAGGTATTAAACCCTGAATGTAGGACAATGAAAGAGAGACCACCTGTCAACAAGATATTTCAACAAATTTCCGGGGCGCCTGAGTGGCTCAGTCGTTAAGCGTCTGCCTTCGGCTCAGGTCATGATCCCAGGGTCCTGGGATCGAGCCCCGCATCGGGCTTCCTGCTCGGCGGGAAGCCTGCTTCTCCCTCTCCCACTCCCTCTGCTTGTGTTCCCTCTTTCACTTTGTCTCTCTCTGTCAAATAAATAAATAAATAAATCTTTAAAAAAAAAAAAGATATTTCAACAAATTTCTGCTGCATGGAAAAAAGGTGGAAGCATGTTCTTCTATAAAGAGAGGAAGAAGCCCCTAAGAGGAACAAGATCTGCCAGGCAGAGAACACCACGATTTGGGTCAGCAGGTAGGAAGGACTGGGGAGGGAGGGGTAATGAATGTGTGTCTAAGGGAATATATTATGAAGTTCTACAGATGAAGACAACCACAATGGCTGGGATTTGCTTTATATATTATGTTATATTATATTATATTATATTATATTAAATTAAATTAAATGATATCCATAGCATCTAACCTATAAAGGCAATCAATCTTAAGGCAATCTAGGGGCTTTATATTATTTAGGAAGAGAGTAAAGATACTGATTAAATTCAGATTTATTTAAGGCCCTTTGATAAGAAGTCTGGCTTTTTAAAAAGTTTGTTCATAGAAAATCTGAGCCAGCTAGCTTCCCCTTTCTCTTATCTCACCCCTCTCTGCTCTCCCTCCTTACCAGAGGATTCGTCTCTAAAAAATAAAGTTAATGAATGACCTGGGGAGAATTACAGTTGCCAAATAAGTTTTCTATACACCAGGGTTAAAGCCCATCCTATTCTGGCATTGGGCATTCCTCAGCCTAACAGCTAGTTCCCTGCCCCTTGAAAATCCCTGCCCACCTACAAAGAACTTCACTCTCATTCAGGGGATAATACTGTAGGAAAGAGACCTATATATACAACAGTAGAAGAATCCTGGACTGCTATCTGGAATAATCAAACTAGTCCCTCATTCTTTTTTTTTTTTTTTAAAGATTTTATTTATTTATTTATAGGACAGAGAGAGACACAGCGAGAGAGGGAACACAAGCAGGGGAAGTGGGAGAGGGAGAAGCAGGCTTCCTGCCGAGCAGGGAGCCCGATACGGGACTCGATCCTGGGACTCCAGTCTCATGATCTGAGCCGAAGGCAGTCCCTTAACCAACTGAGCCACCCAGGCACCCAGAAACAAAAACTTTTAATGGGGAGACAAAAGACCAAGAATAGTCCAGGAGGTTCAATACCTGACTCCAAGGTGTTTCAGGAAGAAAGGGACAAACAGAAGTAAAAAAAAAAAAAAAGATCTTCTAGGAAAAGAAAATCTTCCAGAGCTTATGAGACAAGAGTTTTCAAGTTGAAAAGACCAACTGAGTGTTTAGCAGGATAAAAATGACACCTAAATACATCGTGATGAAATTTCAAAACACCAAGGCTGAAGAGAAAAGCCCCGAACAAGTCAATTACAAAAGAATGATCATCACTGAATGCAAAGAAACCTGACAATATCTTCAAAGATTTAAGTAGAAATTATTTTTACTATATAATTGGCCAATTATGATTCAAACGTAGGGGCTGAGAGTTTTCTGACCAGGTCCCAGGATCTGAGGCTATAGTAGGCCAAGGATCTACCATAACTCTGCCTCAGCCACTATGCTGACACTGAGCAGTTTTTATAGTTGCTGTCACAAGAAGTCCGTAATCTTCAGGTTTAGCTTAGTTTTTCCTAGGTCCTTAGTTATACCATGAGGTAATCCTTCCATTTGATTCAAATGGACCAAAGCCTCCAACTCCAATGAGACTGCAGTGAAATTTTCTCTTTTGCTTGACTGAATTCTGCATTTCTCAGCAGTCTTCAAACATTTTTATTGACTGCCCACTGTAATGTCTTATAGCAAAGTCATGGCAGACATATTACAAACCACTGTGGGAACATTTTTCTCAAGGATATTAATAAGTAATTCATGGTGTTATTGTGAAAATTAATCAAGAGGTTTTAGAGTGTGGACCACACTGCTTGGGACATAATAGAGTACAGAATAAATGTACAGAGTAGAGAATAAATGTAAGTTGCTGCTTTATAACATTTGTAATTCTCTACTTAATCTTAACCATTCCATCACTATTTAGACCTGGGAGATAAAGATAATTGCAAGAAGTATTTTTAAATACATTTTGGAAAATTTCATTCACTGTTACCTCAGTATTATTTCCCATTATTATTTTGTCTTTTTAGAAATTGTACCATAAAAAAAGGAAAGAAATAACACCTCAAACAATTTCTATGCTATAAATACTGCCCATTGAAATGTAAGTATGGTTTCTGGAAAGTTTATATAATTCAGTAGGTTTTACCTTTGGTAAATATCTCTCCTTTTACCGGCGTCTAGAGCTCCTTTCAATCGACTCTCAGAAAGCAAGCTATCAACCTACAATAAATAGAGACTGTTAGAATATATTGTTAAATACCATATAACCTTAGGAAATAAAATTTTAATTCTCTTTTCCCAACATTTCACAATGAACACTTTTAAACATACAATGAAGTTTAAAGAATTTCACAGTGAACCCCCATATACCCACTACCTAGATTCTACCATTAACATTTTACTATACCTTTTTGATCTATCTATTCATCAATCCATCTTATTTTTTATGTATTTCAAAATAAACTGCAATCCTCATAAATGATGTACCACGAGTATCGCTAATGAGAGTTCAATGTTCAGTAAAAAATTTATATACAATGAAATGCACATATCTTAAATATATATTTGCTGAGTTTTGGCAAATGCTTACACCCATGTAACTCTAACCCCTATCAACATATAGAAAATTACCATTACCCCAGAAAGTTCCCAGAAAGGATGTACTCTTTTGTGTCATCCTTTCACACAGCATGTTTTTGAGACACTGCCATATAGAATCATTAGTTTATTCCTTTATACTGCTCGGTAGTATTGTATGAATACGTCACAAGTTTGTTTATTCTCATTCTTCTATCTTACACCTTGACTTAGCATTTTCTAAACACTACATGCAACCTTCCCAATGTCCCCCCAAAAGAAATATGTACCCACGTGGGTACATCTTTTCTAAAGATGATGTGGAGAAGATAAAGTGGATGAAAGAAGAGGAAAGAAGAGAAATTGAAATTCACTCGTTTCTTCTCTACCCTTGCTATTTTGCATCTGAGTGTTAGTTACAAATTCACAGCTGGTGACAGAGTCAGTCATAATAGGCATGACCCAGATGGGCTCTTGATTACTTGCCCACGGACACCAAGTTGGAAATCTGTTTGTTTTTTGCTTCAGGTGTCCGCTGTGGAGACAGGGAAAACCTAGCTCCCACTATGAAGGAGCACTTCCCAGACACTCAGGCTATCAGAAGACTCCTGGGACAAGTCTTCTGCAGGTTGACTAATCTTCGTAATTGCTCTGTTTCATCTTTGTCTTAGTAATAATTTTCTTTGTAGTTTACTTCTGAAACTTTCCCAGTTCTCCCAATGTCCCGCTAAATTTAAAATCAGATACAGAACCATATTAAGCATCCAGCCAAAGCTCACTTAAGTCAAAGCCTCATCAAGTTTTATTTCTACCAGAAGAGTATTTTGTTTTTATTGCACCACTGTAAAATCTAAAAGTCACTTAAGAAATATTTATCTATCAGGGCGCCTGGGTGGCTCAGTTGGTTAAGCGACTGCCTTCGGCTCAGGTTATGATCCTGGAGTCCCTGGATC